CAACTTTGCTCAAGTTATTTATCAGCTGAAGGAGCTTTTGGGCCAAGACTATGGCATTTTCTAGATATAGAATCATGTCATCTGCAAAGAGACATACTTTGACTTCCTCTCTTCCTATTTAGATGCCCTTTATTTCTTTATCTTGTTTGAATGCTGTGGCTAGGACTTCCAATGCTTTGTGGAAAAGAAGTGGTGAGAGAGGACATCCTTGACTTCTGCTGGTTTTCAAGGGGAATGCTTACAGCTTTTGCCCCTTCAGTATAATATTGGCTGTGGGTTTGTCAGAGATGACTCTTATTATTTCAGATACGTCCCTTCAATATCTAGTTTCCTGCGAGTTTTTAACATGAAATAATGCTGAATTTTATCAAAAGCCTTGTCTGCATCTATTGAGATAATCACGTGGTTTTTGTCTTTAGTTCTGTTTATGTGATGAATCACACTGATTGATTTTTGTATGCTGAAGCAACCTTGCATCCTGGCGAAGAAATCTACTTCATGGTGGATTAAATTTTTGATTTGCTGCTGGATTCAGTTTGCAAGTATTTTGTTAAGGATTTCTGCATCAATGTTCATCAAGGTTACTGGCCTGATGTTTTCTTTTTTTGCTGTGTTTCTGCCAGGTTCTGGTATCAAGATGATGCTGGCCTCACAGAATGAATTGGGGAGAAGTCCCACCTACTCAGTTTTTTGGAAAAGTAACAGTCAGAATGGTACCAACTCTTCATTGTACATCTGGTAGAATTCAGCTATGAATCCTTCAGGTCCTGGACTTTTTGGTTGGTAGGCTATTTATTACTTATTTGGTTTTGGAGCTTGTCATTGGTCTGTTCAGGGAATTAATGTTTTCCTGGCTCAGTCTTGGGAGGGTGTAGTTTCCAGCAATTTAGAGGTATTCGTAGTAGTTTCTGAAGGTTATTTCTTTGGGGTCAGCAGTAACATTCCCTTTGTCATTTCTAATTGTGTTTGGATCTTCTCTCTTTTTTTCTTAGTCTAGCTAGTGGCCTATCTTATCAATCTTTTCAGAAAACCACCTCCTGGATTTGCTGATATTTTGAATGGCTTTTTTGCATCTCAGTTTCCTTCAGTTCAGCTCATATTTTTGTTATTTCTCGTCTTCTGCTAGCTTTGGGGTTGATTTGTTCTTCCTTATCTAATTCTTTCCATTGTAAAGTTAGGTTATTAAATTGAGACCTTTCTAACTTTTTGATGGGGGCGTTTAGTGCCATGAATTTCCCTCTTAACACTGCCTTACCTGTCTCCCAGAGATTCTGGTATGTTGTATCTTTGTTCTCACTATTTTCAAAAAACTTTTTGAGGTCTGTCTTAATTTCATTATTTACCCAAAAGTTATTCAGGAGCATGCTGTTTAATTTTCCTGTACTGTATGATATTGAGTGCTTTTGATTGTGTTGACTTCTATTTTTATTGTGCCATGGTCTGAGAGTGTTTGCTATGCTTTCAGTTCTTTTACATTTGTTGAAGACTGTTTTATGTCCAATTACGTGGTTGATTTAGAGTATGTATTACGTGAAGATGAGAAGAATGTATGTTGTCTGCACTTCATTTTAATTCTCTGATTCTTCTTACATTATTGCTCTTACCTGGAATATTCTCCCTAAAGTAGAGTCAGGTCACATATTCATTTTGAAGGTTTTTCTGACCAAGTCAATCCTTACTGACCTACCTCATCTTCCTCTTGATTCCATACCACTTACAACTGGTAACACTGTATCCTCAAATGCATACACAAAGCAATTCCACCTTATTTCCTATCAACTTCTACTCATACTGAAAAACATGGAACTGTATATAGTTGTGCATCACCACCAACCCAAAACTAAGATCTTTATATTAACTTCTGAAAAGTCAGAAGAGGAATAATAGCCACATCACCAAAGAGAATAATTTTAGCCGGCATAAGGAAGTCCCCTCTGCTTTAACCTTTACAAGAAAAATAACTTTGTAAAGACCAATTGCTTGTTTTCTGTTTCTGCTTTCCTCAGCCTTTTTCGGTCTATAAAATGAAACGTTGCCTGATTCTTGAACTGCAAATGAAAGTCAATTAAGACCTTTAAACTAAATTTGTTATAATTTTGTCTTTGACAGCCACAACCTATAATTCTTGCCTTAATCTCTTCTATCCCCTCAAAGACAAACTAATTGTTCCAAAACTATAAAGACCAAATATAATTTTGAGAACTCAGCCAGATTCTTAGGACAAAGAGGAAAAAGTGTACAAACAAAGAATTTTGTAGGGTAAGTAACATCAAGAGTAAATGAAAAGCATGCTCCTTCCTTTATCAACATCTGCCAGCTCACCAGCTTGACAGGATAGAACCTCAACTACATCTTTATAACATTTAGCATAGCATCTTGAACACAGGTGGTATCAAATGTCTGTTAATAACAAACAAATGCCTTGAAGGAAACTTCTCACAATGTATTCAGTAGTCCTCAAACCTTAAAAAATATCAGTCTTAAAGCAGGAAATGGATGAGGGAAAGGAAAAGTAACATGACAGGGCAAGCATTCACTTCTCAATAGAATGTCAGAAGTGCATGTTCTTACTGTGTTTTTTCCAGGCAGCCTCTTAAAGCTGCCCGTTTATCTTTAAACATAGTACTTAATGACACTTCATTTCTGTCAGAGAAAAAACATGCACCATTTTTTTTTTCTTGCCTTCCCTTTAATGAATGAAATGTACAATGGGCTATGTATGCCAGTTGCTCACGCACCGCAGTGAGCTGCAGGGACACTCAGTGCAGACTGGCGTGTCCAGGCAGCCAAATGGAATTCCCCAAGATTTTTATTTGTTTAAAATACTTCGGTGTCAGGACAGTCTGGGCAGACATGTTACTCATGATGCTCCGGACACCCAGCAGGGCCCATTGAGCTCTTCAGAAAGTCTGTGGAAATATTCACCGTGTGGCACTAACAATCAGGGAGCAGGCTCCTGAATCAGAGTTCAGTAACGCAACTGTGCAGTCGGCTTCATTTTCTGTTTAGCCACTAGTTACTTCGCTTTCCAACAAGGTTTGGGAAAAGGTCAAATGTGCTCATAGAGGAGGAACAATGAAGCAGCCTTAGGAGTTACAGTGTTAAAAAACACCCACCTCCTCCTAAAATTCAAATTCCCATGTTTCTACAGGCAGCCAAGAGGAAATTAACACAATGAATCTTGAAAGTGAAGTGTGTAAGGTGGGTTAAGCAGCAGCACTGCTTTAAAAGGATAGAGGGTTGGCAGGGGCAGAAGACAAGTCTTTGCAGTTGAACTTCTGAAAGCAACAAAGACAACAGATCAACATAGCATAAAAGACAGATAGCACATATCAGCTGAAACCTGAGCTAGATCCTGACTGTAGGAGCCTAGGATCAATGAATTCAAGAGTGTCTCTTTCTGGTACTCTGCATAGGCAAATTTAAGTCCACAATAAAAGGAAAAAAAAAAAATCCCACAAATTCCTTTCCCTGGCTCTGAAATAATATAAACAATATACTTCTCATTTGTTAGCTTCAGAAATAAATTTCTTTTCCTCTTCCTATTTAGTCACACTTATCTGGTAACTTGTCTTAGGTTTAGAGGCCAAGATATATATATATATACACATATATATATGTATGTGTGTATGTATGTATGTATATATGAGACTACTCAGAGCTGCTTATCCAATTTCCCTGGTAGCAATGTGGTTATCTCCAAACGTATCTTTATTTAAGCACGTTAAAAACTTTTTTACTTGTTTAATTTGGATCTGTTTAATAATTCCTTCTTATTTGTAAAGACTCCTTTAAATTATGCCCTTCTTTCCCAGCCATTTATTGAATATTCAGTGGTTTAGATTAAGGAATTTAGAAATTCCAGTGAGTAATTCTTTGCTTCAATATGCAAAAAAAATTCAGGTGCAAAGAGAAAATAAACACCTAGAGAAGAATGTTTTCCAGAATTTACATTTGGTTATTCTGTCATCTACTGCCTTCTTTGAATTCATATATACAGATGCTAATACTACCACTTTAAACGTTTAACAAGGCATTTTTATTCCGCTATTTGCAGAAAACTGATCAGCATCAAGATTTCTTCCAGTCACGTATGATGAAGACAGCATTTGATTATCATTCTGAATGACTTCAACATATCAGGACAACTTCTTCCAGAGAATACTTTGTTCAATATTATAACGAATCACCACCATTATTAAGAGTCAGAAAGCACTGAACCAGAGAAAGCAGTTACATACATATTTTGTCATTTGACAGAATCAACCAAATATATAAACAAGAATCCTGACATCTTAAAGATAAAGAAATCAGTAAACAAACAAAAGAAGTACCAAAGCGCCACTCATCATCATACCATTCTCTCTGTCCATTATTATACAACTAGCCAATGATTTTAAACAGCTATCAAACTGGTAAATGCAAGGCTTTCAACTGCCTACAAGTAAGAAAAACTGGTAACTTAAAACACGATATGCAATAAGGGCAGGCTGACAATGCTAGGAACTCAAAAGATGATTGCTAAATAAATTAAAGAGGCTTCATGGGATGTACAGAACATAAATCATTCTTAGGAAAAATTTACTTCCAGAAGACTTTGAAAAAGAAAATGATACTCACATGTACACTTTCCTATTTTTATTTCTCTTTTAAAATATGACTTACATCCACAAATATTAACTGGATTGAATCTGCGTAAGACATAGCTTAAAATCCTCATTTACCTCTTCAAATTTCTCTAGTTCACCAATTCACAGTAACTTAAGAAAAGCAATGAGAGTGCTAATTTAAAAATTCACTCTTCTGTCACAGTGTAAGACGGCTGGTAGTATAGGAAATCAGACTGCTTTGATTGTCTATGTGACTTTTTCAAGGATTTTTATTGACAATTTCAGGTGCTGCTCATAGTCTTCTGTCCACAAAACTAGTATTACATTAAAAACCTCAGATGCAAAATATTAAACAGCAATGTATCTCTCAAGATGGGAAGCACAACTTACTTCAAGTTGAAAAAGTTCTCCAGCTCCCTCACAGTCATTGGATGTGATTATTGGAGTATGAATATGCACAAAGCCATTGTCCTGAAAAAGAAAACCACAGTTTTCAGTATATTTGCATATTCAACAATTCCAAGAACACACAGCTTCTTATACTATTAAAATGGCACACTAAGCAAATGCTGTTTTATTTCAAAGATAAAGAAATTGAGGCCCAGACAGATTTAGTGTCACAATTAGTCAGTGGCTGAGCCAGGACTAGAACCTAGGTCTTCATGCTCTTTAGTACTTTACTCTCTTTCCATTTCTCTAACATTTTGGTGGTGATTCAACATGTATACACACTCTAGGATAACGTATAATGATGCTGCCCATGCTGCTAGGGGAATACAAAGCGATCTGTATAAACTTATCTTGAAATAAGACCTCAATTGTAATGAACACCAAAAAAAGGAGAAAAATTAAGGTAGACAAATAGAGACTGAATATACAAACAGCATAAAAAATACAGAAATGATCTTTACAAGGTCTCTGTCATTAAACTGATGGCACACTGAACTCTACATGGCACAGGCAGTGTACTTCCTTTGCCTGAAGGAATATTCTGAGCAGCAATAAATCCATCCATTACTAAGGTCTCTAATTGCAGCCCTTCTGAACAAAAGTCTGAGACTATTTCCATTAGTGAACCACAAAAGCTGTTGCTAGGAGGATTGAAATAACCCAGCAATTTCAAGGTTATGCTTCTTTCATTTTGACTATGGATATAAGCAAAAGGTATATCAACAATGTAGATGTTTGCAGGGTGGGACTGCAGGTAATAAAAAGTGACTTTATAATAGAAAGGTAGAATATTATGTGCTTAATGCAAAATTTTGGCCTTGAAATCAGTACAATAAATTCCTATGCACATATTTCCATCAAGTTTGGTGGAATAAAGATTGTCTCTATGCATTACTAGGGGCCTCCCAAATATGACCCTTCTTGAATTCAAGTGTTATGGCTACAATACAAAGTATTCAGCCAACAACTTGCCTTATGATGTGGACTGATTAAATATTCAAACTCTAAATTAACAGTCTCAAAAAGTATTAAAATATATACTTAATCTGACAGCAACATGCCTAGAGGTGTTGCACAGAGCACATTATAGAAAACCAATGAAATATGATCAATAACATTACTGCATACCATTTTTATCTCCTAGGAGCCAAGAATCATGGACATGAAACATTTACTCCACATGAATGTAGGCAACTATGAACATGAGTGCAGTAAACAAAGAAAGGAAGTGAAAAATCCAAAGGAAATGAGGGTAAGGAAAGGGAGGTGGAGAGGGAGGAGAAAATGTAATGGCTAAACCTGATTGCCAAAGTTAGAACTGATCAAATGTCACAAGAAACAGCACTATAAATCTCACGAAAATAACTGTATGAGTTTTTTATTTAAATCACACACCTAGTGGGAATTATTTTTAATACTTAACTAATGCTAAGTATCACAAAAGGGTCCAGCAGCTTTCTCTGCTTTAAAACTGCCTGCAAGGCTTATCAAAGTTCCTAACATTACCAAATGCTAATAAAGGAGAGAGTACAAAGGAAGAATAATACAGTCATGCAAACAAAGTCCAAAAAAGTCAAAGTGGGTAGGGGAGTAAAAAGGAAAGTAAATAGCAAGGAGTGGTGAAGTACTGTGAGTATCTGCCTCAAATAGGTTTCCAGTGTCACGTACTTATACCGTCCCAAATCAAAGGGATTCCTAAATAGAGACATGAAGGCCAGAGAAGGGGCCAAAAATAAAAGCAAACACTTTCACCCAGTTTTTCAGATTCCACCCATCACCTCCAAATATCTAAATATTTTCATACACATTCTAAAACCAATATTTTCCAAAGCCCTGAGTATCCCAAAATTATAAAATTCATACATTAAGGCCCATATACACCATTAAGAGAAGACTAACAGACTCTTTCTTTCCCACGTAACTGAAATAACTATCATTTAATAAGAATCAACAAAAAAAGAAACATGAAAGAAAGTGCTAGTCACAGGTAGGCCATAGGCAACACAAAGTGGCAGCAAGAAGAGATTTTAAGAATCCATTAAGAGGCTGGGTACAGTGGCTCATGCTTGTAATCCCAGCACTTTGGAAGGCCAAAGTGGGCAAATAACTGGGTCAGGAGGTCGAGATCAGCCTGATCAACATGGTGAAAGCTCATCTCTACTAAAAAATATAAAAATTAGCTAGGCGTGGTAGTACACACCTGTAGTCCCAGCTATTCGGGAGGCTGAGGCGGAGGTGACAATGAGCCGAGATTGCGCCACTGTACTCTAGCCTGGGCAATACAGTGAGACTATCTCAAAAAAAAAAAAAAAAAAATTCACAAAGAGCAGTTACAGGAACTCAAAGACATAGCAATTTGGAGACATTCTACACAAAGGTAAAGAATACTAGGCACAGTGGCTCACATCTGGACCCTAGCACTTTGGTTAATCCAGGCAGGAGGACTGCTTGGGCCTAGGAGTTCAAGACCAGCTTGGGCAACACAGTGAGATCCCATCTCTACAAAAAATAAATTTAAAACGACTAGCCATGCACAGTGGTGCATGCCTATAGTGTCAGCCACTTGGGAGGCTGAGGTAGGAGGATCGCTTGGGACTGGGAGATTGAGGTGGCAGTAAGCCATGACTGCACCACTGCACTGCAGCCCGGCAACAGTATAAGACCTTGTCTCAAAACAAACAAAAAATATTCCACATAGTGGCAGGCTTTAAAACACTGCCATACAGAGGAGAACAATTCCTGATATTTACAGGAAGAACCTCAATTCATTGAGAAAGGGCAGAATCTTTTGTACTTGGCTCACTGAGGAAGACAGGAAAGTAAGTAATCCATTTTAGGAACACTTCCACTGGTATTTAGAAAAAAATTGGTCCCTAATGAGAAAATTCCTCAGATGTTTCAGAAATCTGGCTTTTCTAAATGACTCATTCCTTGAGGATTCTAAATAGCCAAGTTTTTGTACATAACAAGTGTGTCAATTTTATGAGCAAACAAGGTTATACACAAAATATTTTTCATACTGAAACCAATAAATAGTCTTAGGTCCTTAAAGTGCCCTAACTTAAAAGTACTGTTCAAGTTTCTATTTTTCGCCCACATTTCTATATTTTTATTAACAAAACTGAAAAGAAAATTTTATATTTGGAAGAGTAACATCTTTTAGCAAACCTAAAGTAACGGATCAAAGAAACAGGTACAAAACATTAGGTAACATATAACTATTACATAATATGCCTTATAGTACTCCAGTAAGGCTTCTTTAAATAACTGAAACCTAAGCATCACACATAAAGGTACATAATTATCACATATAAAGGTAAGTAAACTAGAATGAGGTAACAGGATTATATTCTCCAGGTCTTTACAACTACTAAGTGAATTTACTGCTACTCAAAAAGTGTCTACCTTTGTAACTACTCTATCATGAATGGTGCTAAAATTCAAGTTATTTCCAATTGAATGTTTTTCTAATTTTACTTTTAATAATTTTTGGCTAGGTGTGGTGGCTCACACCTGTAATCCCAGCACTTTGGGAGGCTGAGGCGGGTGGATCACCTGAGGTCAGGAGTTTGAGACCAGCCTGGCCAACATAGTAAAACCCGGTCTCTACTAAAAATACAAAAATTAGCTGGGTGTGGTGGCGTGCACCTGTAGTCCCAGCTACTTGGGAGGCTGCAGGAAAAGAATCACTTGAACCCGGGAGGCAGAGGTTGTAGTGAGCCAAGATCATGCCACTGCACTCTCCAGCCTGGAGCAAGGCTCCATCTCAAAATAATAATAATTTTTTTTTAAAGTCAGGATCTCACTTTGCTGCCCAGGCTGGAGTTCAGTGGTGCAAACAGGGCTCACTGCAGCCTCAACCTCCTGGGCTCAAGTGATCCTCCTGCCTCAGCCTCCTGAGTAGCTAGGACTACAGGCACATGCCACCATGCCTGGCTAATTTTAGTTTTATTTTTACTAGAGACTAAGTCTCACTATGTGCCTAGGCTGGTCTCTAACTCCTGGGCTCAATGGATCCTCCTGCCTTAGCCTCCCAAAGTGCTGGGATCATAGACATGAGCCACTGCACCCTGTCTACTTGGTTTTTTTATTTCAAATTTTTGTAGCTTGTCTTATTTTTTAATTATTTACATATGTCTAAAAGCTTCAAGTAATAAATGGAGTATGTAAAGTGTACTTGTCAATACCACCACCTAGTGGCCATAAGTCTACAAAACCTTCAAACTAAAGTAGGTATACTTCATCAGCTGTCGAAGCCATGTGGTTAAAAAAGGTATTTTTATGATTATGTGGTTCAAGCACTAACGAAAATCCACATGGAAGTGGATAGCAAAGTTTCTGACAGCATATGTATCAGGACGCTTACAAACTACAATAGGATGACATTGTGTAATTTGATTTATTTTCCTTTGTGGTATCAAAAGCAAATGCCTTAAATAAGGCCATGATGTTCTTTTCTTTAGCTCTTTAACCAAATTAATCTGAAAGAGGTTTTTTTCAAGGGGCAAGAACTTTCTTGGTGAGCTGTAGCAGGACTGTGTGAATTTGGATACAGCCCAAGGGAAGGCTATAGCCACTGTTACACAACTTCTGCAAATTAGCTATATCTGGAGAAGTAGCACAGGAAGAGTTACAAAACCACATGGAGTAACAATAAACTTTATCTGCTGGATCACTCCTTGCCTTTGGGGCCCTCCCATTCACTGGGAGAGAGGGTCCCTTCACCTTAGCAATTTGTCAACCACATTAAACTGTGGCTTTCCCAGGTAGAGGGAAATGGCTGAGAAGCAAAGCCAAATGAGACAAAATGCCTTTAGTCATTAGATCAACTGACTTGCTCAACACCAGTAACTCGTTAAAATTAATGCTTACTTTATACAGAATATAGATCTATGACCAAGATGGAGAAATAGGAAACAACCAAAACACAAAAGAACCACAACAACACAAAAAGCAAACCCCATGAAACAATAGTTTCCAATATACTGGGTATCAGGCAACAAAGTCATCTCTCTCTGAGC